CAAGCACCCGCCCCCCCCCCAGCTGACTCCACCCCCCAGCTGTGGCTCTGGGGGGTCCCCGCATCATTTGCAGCGGGGGCTGGGCACGCTGTCCTGCAGACCAGGCTTGTGGCCGGCGTGGGGGGACAGCTCTGTCCCCACGCACCCACCGGGGAGTCAGTCCTCGCACCGGGAGGGCCGGGGGGGCCGTGTTCCGGGCTCCCACTGCTCTCAGGGCAGCGCCAGCAGGTCAGCCAGCACCGTGGCTGCTGCTTGTGCACATCGGTGCCGGGAGCTCTCCCAACACACTCCGGGTGTCAAAGAGGCCACTGCTTAAATCCTCTGGATCTGACCTTAATCTGCTTTACATTTCTTCCATTCCTGGGTTTCTCTCGGGCTTAATCTGCGCCCAGTGAAACGTCTTAATGCAGCTGCTGGCTGACGCCGAGCAGTGAGCTTCCCACTGCACAACGCCCGAGGAAAGGGGAGCAAGGAATCCATCAACGTCACTCCTGCTCCGCCATGCCCAGCACCCCTAGAACCCCGAGAGGGACCGCGGGACGCTCTGGCCCCCACGCGACACGGAGCAGCCCTGGCAGCAGGGCTCACCCCTCGGGCCACGCGCTGTCACACCGACAGGTCCCACAGCCGATCCCGGGAAAACCGGCCAGAGTCACCATTTCCATGAGAAACGCCCCAGCCCTGGCGCTGATCCCCTCTCCAGTAGCACTGAGCGTTGTGTGCTGGGAGCGAGGCTGGATGAGTTAATTGCTCGTTAAGGTTTTGCTCTCCCCCCCTTTCACCCCCCGAGCTCAGGGCTGGGCACAGCAGCACCTTCCTGCTCCCCGTCCCAGGACACGGCCCAAAGCCCCGCACGGGGAGAGGGTCGGGGCGCACACTTGCCTTGCAGGAGGTGATGCCCGAGGAGCCTCTGCCCGGGGCGAAGGCCGTGTGTGATCCTGTCCCTGTGATCCTGTCCCGCGTGTCCCCGGGGCCAGGCAGAGCCCATGCCAGTGGCCAACACGCTGCAGCCCATCAGGGCTGGCAGCCGCTCCCCCCCGGCCTCTCCCCAGCCATTACAGCGTGATGACACCACCCGTCCCCCCACCCACCGACCAGCTCAGCTCTGTGGCTTTTTCTGTTTTAAGTGGGGAAAATAAAAAAAGACCCCTGTGCTCCCTTCCCAGCCCCCCCCACCTGCAGACTGAGGGCTCCTCTCAAAGTCAACCTTGCTGCCAGGTAATATCCTGCCTATAATGGATTTGGGCAATTTTCTCAATTAGGAATTGTAATTGTATTATTGCAGCGGCTGCTTGTTCTGGGAGGCTTTTGGCCGCGTTTCCCTGGGCTGCCGTGAAGGCAGCAACACAGCTCTGCCCTGTTGATCCAAACAGGAGACGGAGCTGGAACAAAAGGGCTGTTAGAAGGGAGCTCGCAGGATAATTGGTGCCAGGGCTGAGCCGGGTTGGGGGGGGCCACGAGCACTCAGCCTCAGAGCATCGTGTCCTCCCCCCAGAGAGGCCACTGAGCTTGTGTGGACACACGAGCCCTGAGGCAGAGCACTGTGCAGCTTCCTCCTCCTCCAGACACAACCGGGCTGGGAGAGCCCCCAGCCTCCTACCCTGGCAGCAGCCTGCAGCTCCCCAGGGGCTGCTTTCTGGGACCCCCAGCCCCCCAGAGCCGTGGGTTAGAGCCGTGACCCGCAGCATCACGGTGATTACACACATGGAATATGTTTTCCTGAGAGGAGGCAGAGAGCGGCTGGGGGCAGTGGGCAGGGAGAGGCCAGTGCCAGAGTACCAGAACACAGCCCAGGGGTATTTGCACTTCCCCAGTGTTATTGCAATAAAAAGAAGAAAGCATTTCTCCGAGCATGGTGGGAAAGGGCGGGGGGACAACAAGGAAGGGAGACAAGGGATGATATTCAAAAGCCCAGAGAGTTTGTGTCCCCCTGCAGGGATCTGTCCCATTTGGCATGAGGCACCTGCAGCTCCAGCACGGGGTGTCCCCACTGTCACGCCCCACACCAGCCCCACGAGCCTTCCCAGAGCAGCGGCCACCCTACACTGCCCCACAATCATCCTCATCGCCCACATCTTCCTCCCAGAGCTCTTCCTTGTAGGGCTGGGACGCGGCATCATCTTCCACTGGGGAGAGAAGGTGCAGAGTCGCAGCGGGAGGGGGTGGCCCTGCCCCACCGAGGGAGGCAAAACCCCCCCAGCCACAAGCCTG